TTCTTCACATTTGAATTAAGGCCTATGTGAAAAATATTAAAAGGAAGATAAAGGAGACAGGTGGGTCTTTCTCATGTGATATCTGAATTCCAGTGCTGAGCTTTTCTCAGGCTATGGACCAGGTTGAAGAACATGGATATTTCATACTTGAATGCTTGTTTTCATATTCAAACTTAATGTCATCTTATTAAAACTATCTTAAGGACATTTCTTAAAGCAGCTACCTGCCACATTTTTGCATGGAGGCGAACCTAAGGTACCTTTAATCAAGGGGGCTCAGATACTGATGGCAGCAGAGCCGGAGCAGCTCTGGCTCCCTCCTGCAGAGGAGCAGGCTGTAAGGAAGGTTGTGGCACTCGCTGTAGGTCCCTGTCAGTAACCCCAAATATTATGGATACAGCTGCAAAGCCCTCAGCAGTGCCCTCGGCGCTCCCTAATCACTTCTTGCGTATATAGGGTGCAGAGCTCAGTGCCCATGTCCATAGCTTTGCCCTAACTGGGGACCTGTCACTGCCTGAGCAAAACCACTTGGACTGACATTGGACTTACAGGGGTATCTTAGCAGTGGGAAGGGCCCCGAGCTTATGGCTGAGCTCTACATCATCTTTTTGTCAATTATTTTGCCAGCCAGGAGGTATGAAATGAGCATCTGTAACTATATGATGAGGACAAGTGGGTGGGTTCCCATAGCCATGGGGATTTACCTGGAGAAGGTGGTTGCTCTGAGACACGCGGCTGATCTCCAGCTTGCCTGTCAGCCTCACTCCCGCCATCGCCAAGTCTCTGTCAGGCAGTCCATGCATGATGACACTCTCATAGCCATACAGGTATGTCTTGCCCATGTGAAAAACAGGCTCTATTAGGAAAAAAAATAACAGAAACAGCTCCTTGGCTATGACTGTTGTGATCTTACTTGAACCACCCCAGCAAAGAAAGGTGAGGCTGTCACTGCCAATAAACAGGTGCAAGCAGTGGGCAAGGCGAGGCTGTAGGGGAAGGCAGCATGGGAGCTGCTGGCTGGCAGAGGGAGACACTTACCGAGGTCCTGCTTCTGGCCCCCTGTGAGGGAGGAAAGAGAAGTATGCTTGAAAAAAACCCCATCTCTGTAGATTTTTTTTCATGTATTATTCATTTAGTCAGTGTGCTAATGGTTGGCAAACAACCAGTAACGGGCTCATGAGGTGCACCCCACACCCCAGGACACCAAGGCTGTGCCAGCCCCCTCACTAGCTGCTGCTTGCTTGGCTTTTCTCCTACTGCTGAGCTTAGGCACAGAAATCTAATAGTTTACAGTTGAAGCCATAAAAGGGCTTCAGCAAATGAAGCTCTAACTATCCCCAAAACCCCTGAGGAGATGCAGTTCGCTCAGCATCACAGTGGCTGTCACAGCTCGGCAGTGCTGGTAAAGCTTCAACTTACCCACGAGGGTGAGCACCAGGGTCAGGATGAGTCCCTTCATGCTAAAAGTGACTGAAGCCCACAGGGGAAAATCTGAGGCTTTTATAGAAGAATTATTAACAGGCACAGTGAATTTTGTTGAGTTATCAGTTTCTTATCAACCAAACAAACCCTTTGAGGGAAAGGGGGTAGGGGACAAGGCGATGGATATATTTGCTGAGCCAAAACCGTCACAAATGCTCTTGTTCTCACCTCAGCAGCTGAATGCCATGAAAGCCCTGCCTTTTGAAATGAGTGCTTAAAAGTATTAAAACATATTTAAAGTCAATTATTATTAATGTGTAAAAAAACTACTAATTTTCCTTATTCCCTGGAAGCACCTGGTGCTGTTGCAGTCTGTGCTGACTTTGCCCAGGTTATACTGACCTGACCATAAGACACACAGCTTATCTAACTGATAGTGCCCCAGCAGGATTGTGCAAAATGCCCGGGCAGCCCTCCTGTGACACCGTGCCCCTACCTGCCCTGCTGTGAGTGGGACAGGCTGTTGGCACAACGCTGCTCTCTGGGGACAGAGAATTCACCCAGTAACACAAACCTCCCAGCATTATCACAAAGGCCATGGCTAAGTGCTGCTGACATCTATGCTTCTCTCACCTGCCTTTTCACCACATGGTGGAGTCCCCTTCTCTCATCAGCAGGCATTTTCCCCGTTCCTTTAGAGGCAGCCCCACAGGTCCCTCAGGCTGCTCTTGGCTCCAGGGTTTGGCCTGGTCCCCAAGGTCCCTGGTACTGCCCAGTCAGGTCATGGAGCTGTGCACAAGTACAGCTCCAAGTAGCTGGAGCCACCCACACTGCTCCATCAGGAACCTGCACCAGGAAGGCTAAGGCAGCCCCAGGACTGAGGGGTTCACATTGGTGCCCTGTGGCTGCTGTTTGCCCACCAACCTTCTCCTCTGTGGGTGGGGAACCAAAGCTTCTGCCCAACTCACTGTGGGAAGGGACTGGATTCAGTTTCCCATCAACAGACCAGTGACTCCTATCCAAGGCAGCTTAGTTTTTGTAATGCTGTATAGGTGATTTTTTTTTTATAATTGGCAGTTGGGATATAATTTATAATGTCTGACAAACCGTGGATTTTGCTCCTGGATCAAAGATTGCATCTCTAGGGAAAAAAAAAATTAATTTCAAAGCATAGCAAATCCTCTGTGTTTTTACTGGTTCTGTATTCAGGTCCTACTTGTTTTAACCCCTTCCCTTGTAAAACTCGTAGCACATGATAGAAAGCCAAACCATTTCCTAGAGAGATGCATCATGTCTTTGGAGATTTGGTAAAGGTACTTGAAGGATTTGAGTATGCAACTACTGGCCACTGGTACTTGAGGCTCAAAAGCTAATATACTATGACATAAGTCTATGCAGCTGCACAGATTTAGTTGGGTTTTTTTAAAAAACTCAGCTTGTGGGCAGGGACAACTCCAGGTCAGTGGCAGTGAAAGTAGAGAGCTGCTGTGATGGCATATTAAATGCAGCAAAGCTTGTTTTCTTAAAGTTATAACACTGTATCACTGAAACACCCCACTACTATAGCAGTGACATCAAAAACTGAAAACCCTAACACTCCTCAAAATAAGTTCTTGCTGGGGGCTGTACAGGCTCTGCCCAGATGCAAGAACAGGGTTTCCCCAAAATCCTCAGCACTGCAGCTTGGGGCTGAAGAATCTTACCCCCATCCCACCCCATCCCTTGCTTTGGGCAGCAGATGCTACATACCTGGTCACCCTGGCCATGCTGCTGCCACAGGGCAGGATCATCTGTGCTTCTGCTTCAAGGGCAGGTTAACCCATGGGCAAGGGCTTTGCCTTTAGGGATTTCTTCATAAAACAGAACCCTCTCATTTTCTAGGTCATTTTTTCAGTGCCTCAAGAACAATTTCAACTCCCAGCCTTTGCCCCCATGCATTCACAGCCCTTTCATGCTAGGATTTCTCAGGAGGATATAACAAGAATTAAAAAGAGAGAGGCAAAAAAATCAAAAACTCAGAAAATGGTGAGGGTGACAAACAATTTGGCTGTGCCCAGGATCTGCCCTGGACAGCATTTCCCTAGAGCTGCACTCAGCTCCCTCCACAGTGGTAGTGGGGGAAAGGGGCAAAGGTTGGTTATGGGCTCCCCACAGCCCCTCTTGAGGTGGATACCTATAGCCCAGATCCCCCTGCAGACTGCCACTGTGGTTGGGCAATGCTCACCCATGGGTCTCCTGCTGGGCTCAGCACACCTGAATGCAGAGGCTGGAAGATGACAATCCCCCCCAAACTGTGCTCCAGCCTTGACATGTTGGAAAGAGAGGAGTCCTGTGGCTGCCCCCACTAGAGCTGGGAGCTCATGCCACAGCCCCCCATGGAGCCCAGCTCTGGGGACCACATAAACCCCTGAATTTTGCTGGATTCAGCCCCAGGTTACCTGAAAAGTCCATGCTTCCTGTCACTGCTCCATGTGACTTCCAGGCAAGTAGCAAAACCACCAGCTCATGGCTTACTGCTGCTGCTGGATAGGGCCCAAAGCCTGTCTGTTGCCTGCTCCCCATCACTTTGCAGAACAGGTTACCATGGCAGCATTTAAACTGCAGAACTGTATAGTTAGACCTTTCACACATGCTTCTTTTGGTACTAAGAACTTTACCTTTCTGAACTATAAAACTCATATCCAAACAATAAAACTTATATATGCGCATCCATTGAATGTACCAAAGTTGCCAGAGAAAGCAAAAAACCCACAATTTTTACAGAATGTTCTCAAGTGTTTTCAAAAACACATTCACCCAGCGTGCATACTCAGCCTGCAAGCACAGCCTTAGGGGCAAGTAGAAAACATCTTCCAGATCTGCTGGAATCCTTTGGGCTCCAGTGCTCAGGGCAGATGAGCATGTTCCTGACCATGCCCACACAGACCTGTGGCAGGTGGGCAGGAGGCAGAGCCCACCTGCTGATGGTGGCTTCAGCAAGGACTCATGCTGGGCACAGTGGCTGGGGCATCTCACCCAAAGTGCAGAGGTCTGACTCTGCTTCAGACTCTTTGGCAGGAGGTGTGCTTGGGTAACACCACCCTGTCGTGGTCAAAGACTCCTGATTCACCCTAGCTTCTGCACCAGAAACATAACTTGATTGTGGCTCCCACAGACCAGCCTTGCCCAGGGGCATGACATTCAGGCTTTATTCCCTGACCCTGCTGCTCTCTGCAGCAGCACTGGCCCACCATGTAGCTATTGCAAAGCATCGCAGCTGCACGGCTGCTGCAGGGAGTGCCTCACACAGAGGTGATCAGTTCCTGCTCCGAATGCACAGGATCCCAGCACCAGGCAAAAAAGCACTGGGGGAACAAGCAGAAGCCTGGTACCACAGCTACACAACCCAGATTCTCAGTGGGGCCTGACACACACACGTGCCTGATACCCAGAAGATGGTCACAAACTCAAGAAGTCTACAAAATGTGGGGTGAGAAGAACCTATGCAGACCTCCTCTTTCCATGACCAGTGAAATAAGGAAGCCTTCGTAATTTTTTCCATGCATGGATTTATTATGAAATCAGATATTTATGGGCAATCATAACAGTTTCTACAATAATTAAGTTTAATACTTTAAATTACTTGAGAAGATTCCACACATCCTCAAACAATTTAGTGTCTCTATTATTCCTTTAGCTGAGGCTTTTTACACCATATAATAAAAACATGAAAGTGTTTCTGGTTTTTCCCATGCTGCAATGTACAGCTTCACGCACTGCAGTCTTCGTCCTCACAAGAACATGCTATGTGTGCATCAACAGTGTCCTGCATATCCTCTGACTTCTGGTCAAACTTCGTCTGTTTGTCTGTCAGGCTGGTAGCTGAATCTGATAGGGAACAAGAAATGAAAAGCAAACAGTACACAGCAGAAGTAGTTCTGCAAGGTACCATGCACATTTACCATGCACTAATCATTAATTACAGCAGGCTTGGCTGCTCCTCACTGACTTACATATTTGTATTTGTTGAAGTCACACAGAGATGTTCATCAATAAGAGAATTCTACCTTGAAAGCTACTACTTCTATGTAGAATTTTCTAATGATACATTTAGGAAAGGGTATTAGGGTCTTTAAGAAAAAACAGACATAATTCTATGATCTATATAATCTATATCTACCTTATCTAATCTCTTATGAACTATGATATACAATAAAAACTATGTCCTCCTATATCACTGCACCTGTGTACAAGGATCCTGTCCACATCTGCCCTTTTAGTGCCTAAATTAGCTCACTGAAATAGGATCACATCCAAAGGCAGTGATATATAAAAAATACAAGGCAAGTATCCCTGTTTCAGGGTGCTGCACACGGTCATATGTGGCTCAGTCCTCACAGTTTTTCAGCTGAATCACAATGTTGACTGTGCTGTTATCCTACCCTTATCTTCTGAGCTTCAAGCACCACGGAGGGGAGTTTAGTTTAGATTTTAAGTTGTAATTTAGATTTTAAATTTACAATAGAAAATAATCTCTCTTGCTGAAGGAATGTTTACATATTAATAAAAAAAGTCAATAAGGCAGTAAGTCCATCCCTACCTGTCGTTATGTTAGATTATTCATATTTTTGAAGTAGAATAACTGACTCAAGTCACAATCTATTTACACTTTTGTTCAGCTCCTATTCAGTAGGATTTCTGTTGACTTACCAGCAGGGAGACAGTGGAAGCCAACACTGACTGGAGTAGTCTTGGTGGCAGAGCATCCTTTCATACAGCGCAGCACTGGCTCTGTGGAATAGCACTTGGACTCTACACCTGCGAGCTGAACTGTCTTCTCAAGCTTCACAAATGAGCGTCGCAGTTTGCAGACTGGAACACAGTCACGGGTGATAGGTTATGTGATTACACTCAGAAGCTCCAGATCTCCCCAGAAGGACCCATCTGCCAACACTGACAATTTGCAAACAACTTCCCTCTGTGAAAACTGTGCTTTGGTCATAAATGAAGCAGCTTTACCGGCTGACAAACCTTTCAAATCGGCTGATAAGATATGGAGTCATGGAAAGTTAATTTCAAATGCAACCGGTCTGTTTCTAGATCAGGATGTAGAAACATAGTCTGATGCACTTTCTAAGAAACATTTTTCGAAGTAAACTGGCTTACTGAATAGCCATCAAACCACGTTTAAAAATGTTGAATATTCAGCAGCAGAACTAAAGGGGAGATTTCTGAACAAATAAAATTAATCACTAAAGAATTACATTATTACCACTGTGATTCAGACACAAAATTGCTGGAGAGAGAATGCAAAAGTCATTGCTACTAACCAGTAATATTGACCTCATTTTGGATTCTCAGGATAAACAGTTACAAGTGAGAAGCTAAACAGATCACAACTTATTCCTAACTATAATTTTTATGCTCTAAAATTCCAGCACTTTCTGCTGTATATTAAATGGAAACACAGTATGCGGTCATTACCAACCATGGGAATAGCATTGTGTACATGCATGTGCACTCCATATCCATGTAAAGCAAGTTTGATGCCCAGTTTTCGTGACAAAGATATAGAAGAATAACAGTTAATGCACAGCTAAATATGTACAAGCCATTTCCAGGAACTGAGGAAGTCCTTTCCACCAGGACAAGTCTCTACAAATGCAATGTTCCCGTTCTCCTTGAGCACTATGGTACAACGTTGCATCATAACCTCAGCTGAGAGCATCACACACCATAAGATCCTAACCTACTGAAACACTTAAAATATAGCTTTGTTGTTTCAAAAGTCCCTGGAACTGCTCATGTACTTGAATGCTTTACTTGACAGGTTGCACTGGTTCAAAAATCAGGTGGCCAGCCATGGTAACAACTACTAACCCACATTCAATTTTTTGATGGATCAGTTGCTGAAAATTGATGTCTGCAAAACGTTGTTGTGCTTAAATCAAAGCATTCTGTGTGAATTTACCCTTTTGCTTTTTTTTTTTTCTGATCATCTTCTAAAACACTTCAAAACTGAAACTAAAACACTCAAAAACCGAAATATTTTGTTTTCACTTGGTTATTTAGTTTCAACTAACTTGCATATTTTGGCTTGTTTAGCCTGTGATTTCCTATTTCTTTCTCAACTGGCAGGTAATTTTAATACTTAATGTATAACTTCTTAATGATTTTTTTTAGTATGCTTTTTATTTCCAGAATGTATACAGATTTAAAATTTTCTGAACAGATTCTGCATTTTCTAAACAACTGCAGTAATATTATATTAAATTTATTAGAACTTGCATACCTCCTCTACAAGGCTTTTCTTCCAAAATCCAAGAATGCCCAAAGCTCACTGCATTTTTAGCTACATATCCGTTGGGCATCCGAAATTCCTCTTCACATTCAGCATCATATTTTCCACATATTCCACACATTTTCCCTGCCATCCATAAAGCAACTTGAATCTTTGTGGAAAAAAAAAGTCAAAAGCACTTCAAGTTAAAAAAAAAGTAATACCTACAGAGCAGATTTTTGCTATGTAGGTCCCTTCCAGTATAAGTTAATGAACAAACATTTAAAATCTTCTTGGTAAGAATTCAAAAGAGTCTGACAGTCATATTCCAAACTCCTGTGGGGGTGCAGCATCATTGCTACAGTCTTTAAAACATACTGAGCCAATCTAGAACATTATTAATGCTCTAGACTCCTAATATGCTGAAGTTTTTGTCTGGATGTTTTGATAGTATAGGAGATAGACACAGTAGGGTTTACCAATCTCTTACATTCCCGTTTCATATTATTTTTAGTGCAGATTTTAAAGCATTCGTTTATCTAAAAAGAATGGGTACACTTCTGCTATTTTGAAGAATTATACAGTTGTAAGAACAGCGGAGAAGAGAGGAAAACTCATTTTTCTTGCAAAGGCACTGATGACTCAGCACATGTACACTCACAGACCCGCTTCCCAACACACCCTGTACTGCAAGAACAAGGTATTTTTGTTTGTGAAGGATTCTCATTTCTCACGCTGAGGAACAAGGAGCAGGACTGTGCAATCCTGTAGCATCATCCTGATGGGGTTTTTTGGGCCCTGCACAGAGTTGCCTTTGCCACTGTACACTCTTGCACTCATGCACTCATGAGATTTAAGGGAATCCTATGGAAATTTCTCAACACCCAAGCTTATGAAGAGGAAGAGTGATACCCTGAATGTGTATCCATCAAAGTACAATTTATCAATGCCATAGGCTGGGGCGAGAAGTACAAGCCCTTGATTTTCACTGTGGATCCACAGAGAAGCACCTAGAAGAAAACAAAATAAAACAAAGCAAAACAAAACCAAAACCAGACCAAACCGAGCCTCTTTAAGAAAGAAAAAAAGCAACTGTCATGTTTCTAAAATGTTTTTTTCTTCAAAATTCCTCAGTTGTTCTATTCAAGAAACAAAACACACAACAAAGCACCCTAGAAATATTTATATATAGAAAACAGGTGTTTGTAAAGGGTTGGAAGACAATTTTAATGATCAAAGATTTATTCATTTTTCTTTGGGTTATTAACATATTCATATTTATATCTAGAAATTATTTCAGAGCTGTCCATAGCATCTGTGTAGTTGCGCAGATAAACAAGACCCTGAGTGCACTATAGTGGAGTATGGAAATACAAAGAACACCAAGACTGTCACTGGAGCCATTTCTAGCACAATTATCACTTTCCAAGTATATAACAAATAGGACAGAGCTCAGCAGTGGCGCATGTTAACCCAATTTCAGCAAGATTTAGCCTGACCCATATACTACAGCTCTGCAGGCAGGGAATACCCACACTGAATATAGCTCCTGACTGCACAGCACAGGATGCAACAGGGTCTTCCCGTACCTTTCACAGAAAAACTATTCCAGCTCTGAGAGAATCAAGCAGGCGGTTTTACTAGTTCTTCATATCTATTCATAGCAAATTTCAGAATGCAAGCCAAATTTATACCTACAAATCAAATTGGGAAAAAACACTGGTATACAAGTCACATGTGGTGAATTTTAGAAAAGCTCTACTTCAAAAAGTTTTAACCAAGCAAGATTTACACCATAACCAAAACACTTTCCAAATTTGGAACTTCAGTAGGAGCTGCAGTGATGTACAAAAAGCAGGGATCTTCATGTTAGTTATATCTTCCTTACTTTGGCCACATCAAGAGCTTCACATCCTAATCAATCTTCCTAAAAGTTCCTATGCAAGTGAGTAAAATACATGTTCTTAAATATTAACCTTAAAACCAAGGAAACAGTAAATACAAACTGATAAAAAACTGATAAAATCTGTTTCATAGACTCTCTTTCTTTCTTTCTCCTAAAACATATGGGAAAATTAAACAAGATATGCTGCATCACTTACCAGCAGATGTGTATGAAACATTTGTCATGGGGCTTTCAACTCCGTCTACCAGCAGCTTCACCCGTCCGTTTGCAGGACGCATATCAATGTCACTGTTAAGGAGAAGAGTGTTCATACCCTGTTTGTGCCCCATTCACACACATGCAGTGGCACTGGCATTTTCCTGCTCACTAAATATCACTGATCACAGCATAAGCTTATTTCAACCACTTAAATTACATCAGGGTATTCTTGTCACCTCTGATGAGGGATAACAGCATCAGCATCGCATTCAACGTGCATGGAAAGTAAATAAGGCGAACACTGAAATCCCGTGGGCTGCTAACTGTTGCAGTGAAGCTCAGATAGAAGCTCCTCTCGTGTTCAATGTGGACGATGGTCACTCATGCTCCCAGCATCTGGCAGGAGTTACTTACTGAATGCCAAGCTTGATGTTGATTGCTTTTAGATTCACAGCTTCTTCAGCATTCCTCATCATCACCAGGAACTTAAGGTCAGAGCTGCAATCCTGAGCCAAGATGTGGTAGCAGTTTGCTGGCATCGTGTAGTTAAACTGAACTTCATTAAAGGTTGTGATCTGGTTGTAGGAAACTGAGCACTGAGCTGGTAAAAAAAATGCCAGTGAGTATTTGCTTTTCCATTAGAGAAAGCCATTAAGTCATGTTTTATTTTTAGTGCCATGTTATTTTAGCTTTATATTTTTTCCACTATGTGATATTTTTGTATGGTTTACAGGGGTTTTTGGCTACTAAGCACCCATAAATTCTTAAAAGGGCATGGAAAATATACTCCTCTATCTAATAAAAAATAATTGCCAGAAACTTTAAATGTTATCAATTCAAAGAATTGGTATCTTGATCCTTGAAATGCTGATGATTTCTGTACTACATGCACAATATTTTCTCCCAGTTGAACCGTCCTCACTTTCTTACAGAACATTTCCTAATTAATTGGAGATAAATAATGCCAGCAAAAATTCAGAAGATGCTCAAGTAAATTGTGACACTGAGGTTGTCATGCTTCTGAGCCCAACCTTTCAAATTCTGGAGCACTGCAGAGGGAGCTTCAGCAAAGACATTCCAGATGGGAGGCTGCAGCTCTGAGGCTGGTATCCTCGGACCTACAGGAAGTGACAGGGGAAGCCTCATGGCTTTTTCATAGAGGATAATCTGAAAAGGAATTCAAAAGCACATTCAAAATACACTGTGCCAACCAACAGCTAAGATTTTTCTCCTGTTTGGAATTTGATTTCTATTTCTTCTACTTTGGTTGCGAAGACTTTATGTGAACACCACTCATCTGTCTCATTGCCCACGAGGTTTTTGCTTTTACTTAGTTTTCTCTCATGGTGTGAGAGAAATCATTCAGGTATTATTTGGGAGAAAATTAATTATTCCCTTTCAAAGGTGAGGAGGTGAACACTTATGGGCTACTACAGATGGAAACTCATGTAATTATGAGTACCCATGTCTCTCTCTGTGAATAGAAGCACCATATGAATATCCTTCTATGTACTATCAAAAGGCTGAAAATAAATAAAAGTTGTTTTTTTCATCATTTGCACCCAAAGTGATGCTTACTTAATTTTTTTTTTCTCAGAATTGACCCACTGTAATTAAAGTGCAACACTTACACTTTTTACTAGGAATAAATAGGAGAGTGATAAAAATATTTCATAATTACATCAGGAAGCTTGATAACAACATCACATGTCCTTGGAGAAGTTAGAGCCACGATCACTCTGGCTTGTCGAGAAGGATTCTTGTCTGTTTTTTCAGAGAACCCCAGCATAAGTGCAGCCCCAGGGATGAACTTGTAAAACCTTCAAAAGTTCAAATCAGAAAGACTTGGTGAAATGGAGAAGTAAAAAGCTGCACACATCCCAACCAGGTTGTCTCACACCTCTGTGTAAGTAGCATAATAGTCTTCAGGATGACTCGTTAGGCTCACACCCACTCTCTGCTTTACTGTTCAGTGAAAGGAAGGATCTGTTCCTCAGTTTTCAGTAATTACATCCATTATGAAGAATTACTGTACATTAAAATAGGAAGTAATGCCACTCAGCTTTTATGTCCAAAGGCAGTACTTGGACAGATCTGAGACTAAAATATTAGCCAGTATTTTAGCTACTAGAATCTCATGTGTGGATGCTGATTTTTCCCAGTTGACCAAATACTGTGAATGAGTGTCACTAAGGACTAAAGCCTCACCATTCAGCTATGGATCTCACACTGGAAGGAACTTTAGGCCACTCAAGTTTCACTTGTACAGCAGGGTGGGCAGCAAACCGGCCAGTCACCAGCTCAGTTGAAATCTTGTAGTCCTGGCAATTCTCTCCCCATTTCAAGTAAGCCTGTAATGGAGAGAGATAAATGATCCATTTTTTAATGCATGGACCATGTTTTTCCTGTGATGCATACAGCTGTATATAACTATTTTTGAGTCTTACCACTGCCTTGTGAGCATTGAGGACTGAAGCATCAGCACAGAGCTTCCACTTGCTTGAATCTGTGAGGTTTGACACAAATACCTGCATCTGGGGCCTGATGGAGTCAATAACAGCATATATCACGAGCTGGAGGCCTCCTATCTTCTTATCGTTATGGATGCCATGAAGAAAAACAGCTAATACTGGTGTTTTAACATCTCCCAAAAACTTAGGCTAAGAAGAAGGGGGAGAAAGTACGCAAAGAATATAACTATAAAAGAGTTATCATGTGGAACATTTTAGATGCAAGATTGAGATGGATAAATGAAAAATAAATAACTGAACCACAAATATATACCATCATATGTACCACACATATATACATGCCTACAAAATCTCATGCATATGTCTTTAATGTGCACGTGCCTCTGCATGCACAGATGGACTTTACCACTGTGTTTATATGATCCAAAATTTGTGCCATTTCCTCAGCTACAGCTGATACCATGGAAATACTCATGGGATTAAAATACAGTAATGACTATATGATTTGGGCTTCATTGTTAATAACCAGCCTGTGAATAAAAGTGGTTCAATTTGAACAGCATCAACTGTCAGTTTTACGCATCACTCTGTCACAGTAATAACATCCCCCAGCTGCACTCCTCCTGTTTATCTGTCTGGGTGGTCTGTTGGCTTTCACCTCACATTTCAGCTGTGAATTCTGTAGGGTGGGCAGGTTTTGTGTTTGCACAGCAACCCAGCACAGAATATAATCCAGGATATTGCCTTCAACATGAAGAACCTCCTCCCTTGGAGCAGGGCCTTAAACGTGCTATGACCTTTGATACCTTCACTCCATTATTAGCAAGCCTGTGCACATCCGACTGGGTGGTGGTGAGGAGTGCAGACGTCCCCTCTGGAGCAGGCCTTTTGGTGAGACTACTCTGAGCCTCAGCTGCCACCACCAATGTCCTTACACTGGCATTGCAGCACCTCAACCTCCCTCCTGGTTGCAGAGCTCGCAAGATGAGTCTCTGCAGGCATCTGTTGGGTGGGATTCCCATGAGGGAAGGGTCACAACGCAAGTAAGAAGGATCCTCACTGTAGAGGAACGTGTGTGTGGGAATTATGGGGCGTGTCTCACTCTTGACTGATACTTGAGACTTGAGAGGTTGGTATTTCTCCCTTCCCATTAACTTAGATATAGAATTACTGCAAGTGCGTGGCCACATGCCATTCTTCCAAGCTATCAAAAACCCCTAAAAATGATGCAACTAACCCGGGAAGCAGGTCTAGATGAGGCACGACTGGATCTGGTAGAAGAGTACGAGCTGCTAAGTCGGTCAGTTGGGAGTTCTGTTTTTGGGAACTGTAAGAAAAAAACACAACATGCTTAACTCAAAAGCATGCTTGAAGAAATGCATTAGGCAATGTTGAACTGTCATGGCACTTGGTGTTGGTAAATTTGTGTTTCAACCCTGAGCAGCTCGATGACTTGCAGTAGGCTTTGTCCTGCTTAGTACATGTGATCTAGCTCTGCAAAATATTGTTTGCCCAAATATATCTGACGCCTCAGAAGAAACAAATAAGGAATGTGTTTAGATGAGAATTCCCTGTATGAAAAAATAATGGACCAAAGCAAGTCAAAGGAAACCAGCCTCTCAATTCAATATGAAAGACCAGAACTCCTGCAAGGGTCTTATCAACTGGAGGACACATTGAATGGACCTGACAACTGGATGGAAAGGATCATCTGAATGGACACACACAGTTGAAATTTTACTTTTTGAGGAGCACTAATATCAAGTACACTGCTCCTGGCAGGCTCATGCTGCAGTAAGAATCTGCTAAACCAAAATAAAATAAGGTATCCTCCTGTGTTTGTCCACATCATCATCCTGGTGTATATCAGCAGTGATTCCAACCCAAGAAACCAAACGATCAGAGCCAGTCAAATGATCTAATCATTTGATGGTAGGATCTTTGTTCCTCCAAAGTGGGCAGCTCCAGTCCCTCATATTGCTTTGGTAGAGGCTTTTCATCTCCTTTGCAGAGCCACAAATGGTGTCGTGCACAACACAATGAGGCACATAGCTCTCCATCTTTACGCATATCAGAAGAACCACCGTGGCTCTAATGTTATCAGTACTGTAATTTTCCTCAACAAAGATAATAAGTTGCCTTTAAAGTTCTCCATTTGACTCATGGCAGTTTCCACAATTCTTTTACTGAGGAAAGAAAAACTCACCTCTTGTCTATGTGCTGATTTAAAGCGGTACTGGTAAATCTCATGAACTTCCTTTGAAAATGATAAAAACAAGAAGATTAAAAATTTCAAATGAAAAGAAATGCTGCAATTATATTGAAATTTGAGCACTTGAAATTAAATAATACTAATAATCCTTCATACATAGGTCTGTAGGTTTAGCCACAAGCACATAATTCAAGATGAATATATGGACAATAAACTGTTAAAAAAATAGTTCCTTGCCTATAACAAAAGTTTCAACAAACTTGTGGAAACTTTTGAGATGCTTTGAAGTAGTCATCTGAGCCAATGATTGCAGATGTGTTTGCAGAACAAATTTTGCAATTTTATATTGCTGAAATTTACTGTGTCAATTCATAATTTCCTGATTTGTCACACGAAACCAACCACCATCAGGAATGTGATTCAGAAACACAAAGTTACCCATATTTTGGAATATATGCTGCTGCTGTCGCCATCCCAATGTCCTGAATGATACTCATGGCTATAGCGGCTCAATGACTCACTGCTGCTACTGCTGCCATTCAGATGCCTTGAGTGATGCCCATGGCTATGATGACTGCTGCTACTGCTGCTCTTGCTGCTCCTGCTGCTACTGCTGCTGCTACTGCTCCTGCTGCTACTGCTCCTGCTGCT